AAAAAAAAAAAAAAAAAAAAAAAAAAAAACAAGAAGTCGTGTTTAGTCAAAGCTACAACATGTCGTTCGCGGTTTCATTCCACAACCCTGACCTGATAGGATTTAAGAGAAATTCATAAATACCTTAATGTTGAGTTGTACAGGGGAGTCGGACATGTCTCGTTCGAATTCAGGAAGTTCTCCCGTTTCCACTTTTCCTTCCCCCTTGTTTTTCCGCGAAGCGAACCAAGCGGAAATGCGAGCATCCGACTTTGTTGTTTTGAATTGAGGAGCAGCCGACGCTCTATAAACCCATCGCTCTCGATGAATATCCGTAGAACTTTTTATCTCGATATTTATTTCTGTTTTCCCCCCGCAGTGTTTCAGTCACTACATGTTGGCTAGGTGATGGTTAATACCTTCCTGGAAGAGTTGGCCGTCCGAGGCTCATTGATTTTGGTTTGTGTGTATGTGTGTATGTGTGTGTGTATGCGTGTATATGTGTGTGTGTTATAGTGGCGAAGTGACGTGAATTCCTGGCACTTCAAGCGCGGCCCCCTTAAAGGGAAACTTAACTCTGGAAATGGCCAATCATGATCGACATGGTGGGCGTGGCCATAATCCCTCATCCTCTGTGAAAACAGGAACTGGGATCAGCATGTTCTTTTATTCAGTGCTGTTACTGGAACTCAAAGAAAGCCACTCACTGACCCTCAATCAGCTTTTTTTTCCCCCCACAAAAGTCTTATGATGGTTCTTTTGCTGGTGTGAAAGGAAGACAGGGCAAATTGCTTCAAAGCATACTTATATGTAGTTCACATTTTCATAAAGGTTGTTTATGATGACCTTGAAAATACATCCACCAAATGACAAATGATGTTTGGTGAGCTTTTCCTTCTAATGGAGTTGCATACAGCCATACATGCCATTTGCATTATTTACATTCAAACGGATTTGGTTAGATTTCACTCGAATGGCTTTTCAGGCCATTTTATGTTTCCGTTCATTCGTACATCCATGCATCTTCAGGGACACAGTGTAACCAGAGCCCATCTGGAGTCCCATTCAGGGATACACCCTGAATGTGATGGCAGTCCATTGCACAGCATCGCAGACACCCGTTTGCACAATCTCACGTGGACTTCACCGATCCATTTTCTGGCATCTTGTTGGGAGGAAACTGGAGGAAGTCCATGCACACAACAAGAAAACATTCAAAACTCCACGCAGAGACTAACCCGAGCTCAGGATTGAACCAAGGGTCCTGGAGCTGTGAGACGTCTACTACCATGTAGAGTAGTTCATGAAAGGGGAAAAAAAAGTTTATGGCATAAGTAATTAAACTAGATTCAAAACAAATATTTCAAATCTTGCATGATTGAGTTATCAGTCTAATGGCGGTTTGCCTACATTGAAGATTTGTGTTCCTTTTGCTTTTTTTATAAATGAATCATTGAACATCTAACTAGTCTGACATATCATTGAAACAAAACAGGGCTGAGTTTCCTTTATATTTTCCTTTATATAAAGATCCCTTTAACTTAGAGAGAGAGTGTCTAAGCCATTTAACGATGATCTTCGTGATGCAATGCTTACAGGAAACTCAGCCGGTATGTTATTTGTTGCCAAACATGCAAGACCAATATTTGCCATCATTTAATGTTTGTGAACTACTTTCCTGGTTAAAAGAAAAGAAAAGAAAAGGTTGTGTTGGTTACAAGTTCCACACATGTATCTTATGATCTCTCAGTTAACTGAGAGATTTTTAGCTGATTTTAAGAAGTCACAATCAAAGGTAATGAGAGGGAAATAGCCAGTCATCCTAAGAAATGTATCCTATTATTATTATTATTATTATTATTATTATTATTATTATTTATTGTATGAAGCTTCAATCATTAACAGAGATTATTTTATGGAGGCTTTTTTATACCAAGCATTGAGTATGTGATAAGAATACGATTGCCACTAACTAATTAAAACATAATGTACATAGCATATAGTACATAACCTATTTTTCGGCCCAGGGATGCATTATTAATTTACACATGCTTTTTTTAATAGAATGAATATACAATGTGTTATTCATTGGACCCCCTGTTGGTTTTGAGGTTGGGCCACTGCATTTAATGTGCTGATTAGAAAACAGACTTAGCAATAGCTAATCATCATGCATGTCCGGTAGCTTCTGTAGGCTGGACCCCCTGATTACATGCATGAGTCATGATTTTTAACAAATTTTCTACTTCAAATTACCCCTTGTCTCCTGATCAGGATATGGAAATAAGCCTAACTCTGGGATCTGTTCATGCATTATCCTGTTCTTTTTGTCAATAGGACTTTTGTAATTGAGAGTCTAAAGGATAATAATAGTTTTTGTGGTCTGTAGGCGGTGAGAGTTTGCATACTATCCCTCAGTGTTGGTCAAGACTTGATTTACATGTCATCACAAAGCATACACCTCATGCTGTTCATAAAGGAAACATTTGTGATTTTCGGTACAACAATACACTTCTTTTCAGGTCCCAACGACTTACAGAGGTGCTCTAAAATGATCATGGTCATTTATTATTACAAATGAAAAAGATCAGGGACTGTAATAAATGCAATAATAATAATAATAATAATAATAATAATAATAATAATAATAATAATAATAAAAACACCAAACAATGATCAACTAAACTCACTTATAACTGTATGAATTATTAAGATATAGTAAAGGTTTATCAAATTAATGTAGTGATCTTATGGATATACTCTTAGAAAGAAAGGTTCTTTATTTTGCCTCTCTATAGGAACCCGAAGAGGGTCTATACAGATTTACAACCTAGGGTTTCCCTTTTTAAAAAGTTTCGAGTCAAACCTCTGAAGAAAGCTAAAACTATTAAACCTCCAAATAACATTTGAGGAACACTTGTTTTTATATATATATATATATATATATATATATATATATATATATATATATATATATATATTATACAACAACAGCCAACCCAGAAGGGCAACAGCTAACATGCGGCTAGTCAGTGGATCTGTTTCAACTGCTGCTTGGAACAGAAAAGGAGGGCACTAACTGCATACATGAGCTAACAATCAGCCTTAATTACGAACCACGAATGAGATCGAGAGAATAGTGGGGGAGGATGCACTACATACCCAGAGAGCTGGGCCAAATCGATTTATTTTATGCTACACCCTCAGTGATAAAGGTACCAGATAGGAATTAGGATAAAGCCATGATTTTGGTTTCCTTAATAACTTTCTGATTCATGAATTTTTGTTGGTGCTATATATATATATATATATATATATATATATATATATATATATATATATATATATATATATATATAAAACAGAAAAAAATGACCCATTATAAATAGTACTATTTCCCTTTTCCTTACCATTATGAGGAAGGATCTTTATTGTGGCAACATCAAGAAATGACTAAACAATTGCGGACCAAAAGGTTTGTCTAGGGAACCAATTTTTTTGTAGCAGTATCACTCTGAAGAGCCTTTGACATCTTTAGAGGAAAAAAGACCCCATCTCTAGCTCTTTGGTTTGTCCCTGTGGGGAAGCTATGGTCCTCTGTACAACCCTACAATCCTTTAGGAAGCTATGAAACCTATCCAAAGAACCCTTGAGGAACCTTCTTGGATGAATGTAGGGCAACTATTATAAATAAATTGGTTGGGCAGAGGTTGTGAAGGTTTAATCTGCAAGCACCGTGTTCCTAGAGAGGAGGAAGTGTAAACATAATCACATACATTTCACATAGTGTATGTTTGTGATAGTGATACAGTGCACCTTTTCTCAATTCTAGAGAAAAAGACATTAACTCAAAAGCTGCATTTATTCAATTTAGTGGGTGTGCTGCAACAAGGAAATCACCAAACTGGGCTGAAACTCTGACCTTTAGAGCTGAAGTCAGGCACTTCTTATGAACGAAACTGAACGCTCCATTCTTATTCGTTGTTGGAATGACTATCACAAAAGTGAGGATGTGTGCTTGGATGACATGGGTACATTTTTAAAACGTTCACTTTTGTTAGTGGTGGTGAAAAAGCCTAAAAAGCCTAAAAAGGCTAAAAGCCTACTATAATCTATAAGCTCTCACACCATTGCATATGCT